TGTCTTCATGGTTCAATTTTGGTAGGTTAAATATGCCCATGAATTTATCTAGTTCTAGGTTTTTCAATTTGTTATCATGTAATTGTTCATAATAATCCTTTGTTTTTCCTTTGTTTTTCTGTAGCATCAGTTGTAATATCTTCTGTCCATCTGAAATGTTATTTATTTAGGTCTTCTTTCTTCCCCCCCCCCATCTAGCTAAAAGTTTTTCAGGTGTGTGTGTGTGTGTGTGTGTGTGTGTGTGTGTGTTGGTTTTAAAACCAAAACCAAACTCTGTTTCATTAATCTTTTGTATTTTTTTAGTCTCTATTTTGTCCTCTAATTTTTGCTATATTTTTCATTCTACTGAATTTTGATTTGGTTTGTTCTTGATTTTCTTGATAAGGTTGTATATTTCAATTTTTTCTACTTTTTTAAAACATAGGTTCTTATTGATACAATTTTTCTTTTTATTGTTTCTTTTGCTGTATTCCATAGGTTTTGGTCAGTTGTGTTTCCATTTTCATTTTTCCAATAAAATTTTTAAATTTCTCATTTGATTTCTTTGGTATATTTATTCTAGACGATTATGCATAGTTTTTGAGCATTTGCGCAGTTTCTAAAGTTTCTCTTGTTGTTGATTTCTAGCTTTGTTTTATTGTGACCAGAATGCTAAAGGAAATAATTTCAGTTTTTAAAATTTGTTTAGTTTTTTATGGCAAAATATAAACTCTGTTTTGGAGAATGATCCTGGTGCTAATGAGAAGAATATGCATTCCACAGCTATTGGATGAAATGTTCTGTAAATATCAGTTAAGTCCACTTGGTCTATAGTATAGTTTATGTTTTAGTATAGTTTATGTTCATGTGAATGATTTGTCCATTGTTGCAATGAGGTATTAAATTTTCCAACTATTATTGTAGTAGAGTGGATCATTCCCTTTAAATCTAATAATGTTTGCTTTATATAATAGGGTGCTCTGGTATTGGGTGTATGTATATTTATGACTTTATTAAATTGATCCTCAATCATTACATAGTGTCCTTTTTTTCTATTTTACATTTTAACTTAAAATCTGTTTTACCTTGTGGAAGTATAGCAATACCTTCTCACTCTTGGTTTCCACTTGCATGGAATATTTTTCAATTCATTCATTTTCAGTTATGTGAGTCTTTACAGGCATTCCAAGTTTCTTGTACATTATTCAGCATATTGTCTAATCTTATTTTTTACCTATTCAGCCAATATAAATCTTTTAATTGGGGGAATTTAATTTATTTACATTCAAAGTTATTGCTGATATGTAAAGTCTTAGTCTCATCAAAAAAATGTTTAAGTTGATTCGTGAATCCTTTCTTCCTTTTTTCTTCTATTACTGTTTTTCTTTGTGATCTGAAACTATTCTGTATTGATAGTTTTCTTTTTTTTCTTTTGTGTTTCTACTCAACTACTAGGTTTTATACCTTGGTTTATTTTTCATGATAGTTATCTTCCTTTTGCTTCTGAATATAGGATTCCCTTAAGTGCTTTTTGTAAAGCAAACTGATGATGAATTCCCCAAGTTTTTACTTGTTTTGGAAGTACTTCATTTCTCCTTCCTGTCTTAAGGACAGCTTTATTGAGCAAAATATTCTTGGTTGGCAGTTTTTCTTTATTTTCAGGATTTTGAAGATGGCATCTTTATTCACTCCTAGCCTGTAAAGTATTCTTCTTAGAAATCTGTTGTTAGTCTAATGTGACTTGATGCTTTTCTCTTGCTGTTTAGAATTCTTTGTCATAGATTTTTAACAGTTTGTGCTTCAGATAAGACTTTTTTTGGTCAAATCCATTTTGCGTCCTTTAGACCTTCTAGATCTGGATATTTATGCCTTTTCCAATATTTGGAAAGATTTCTGTTATTATTTTGTTAAGTAGACTTTTCTGTACATATTCCTTTCTCTCCCTCTTTTTGAACACTCTTGATTTGAATATTTGTTCACTTATTGATATCCCATGAGTCTCCGATGCTGCCATCACCATCCACCTCCTCTTCTTCTCCTTCTTCTTCTTCTCCTCTTCTTCCTCTTCCTTCTCTTTCACCACTCCTCCTCTTCACTCTCTCTCTCTCCTGCAAAATATTTGTCTTCAATTTTGAAAATTCTTTCTTGTACTTGATCTAGTCTGTTGAACTGTATTTTTACTTGACTAACTTTGTTCTTTAGCTTTAACATTTCCATTTTTATGATCTCTTTCTAGAACTTCATATTTATATTATGAATTGTCTTCCTAATTTTATTGAATTTTTATCTGTATTATATCTCATTGAGTTTTCTTAGAACCATCACTTTGAATTCTTTGTCAAACATTTCATCAATTTCCTTTTCTCTAGGTTCTGTTGCTAGAAAATTACTGTGTTCATTGAGAGGAATCACGTTACTATTTTTTAAATTATTTGTTTCTATGTTGATATTTACACTTCTGATGGATCTGTTGTCCTTATGAATTTTTGAAATAAAAAGATTTTCTTTTGAAGATGTGTCTTAGGGTATCAGTTTGGTAGGCCATGTTGACTTGTTCCATTTGAGCACAGTAATATAGTCTATACTTTGCTTCTTTAGCTATAACCAATGGCTTTGTGCAGCTGGGGACATGGGCCAGTTGGTGTCTGAGGGCCACATGCAGATGTCTCTGAGTGGATTTAGTCTCAAAATGGCACTGTGCAGCAGCAACATTTTCTCCATCATGGGAAAACTTTTTCAGGTTCAAACAAGTCTGGATAGAGGCGAATAGGGTAATCAATATAAATCACTTCATTCTCTTCTGTCTAAGGCAATCCTGAATCTTCTTGTTCCATGCCTTATCTTTCATCTGCATTGCCCTCTAGCATTACCCCCACCCTCAAGTTTTCTTTTATATAAGTAGGAACACCAATGGGATGCAGTGTGAAGAACTTCCTGAGGAAAATAGGATGAAGATGGAAAAACAACTTTGTTAGGTCTTAGTGGATTATACCCACCTTATCTGCTTCCAGGCTGCTGTGTTTGAACCTAGGGCTATCTGAGCCAATGAGCAGAGTGTCAGAATAAACTGAGCGGGCTGGAATTGGTTGGATTTCACCAAGACTTCTCAGAAGAGCAACCCCTGCCCTGAGATCGCTGGAACAACCCATAATTTATTCATGGATCCTGAAATCTCCCCTTTCATTAGTTTTTTAAATGCAAGTGGTGTGCAATTACTTGAAGTTCCTGGATCTTTTTTTCTGAGAGTCTAGCAACCTATTATTATGACACAAAAGATAATTCCAGCAAACATATCATTCCAAAAATATATCATGAAGAATGTTTCAACATATTTCCAGCATTAAAACCCTTTAAGTCATGAAGTATTTGTTTAGCTAGAGATGCAGGATCCATGAAATCCATCCTGCTTTTCTGACTATCCTGTATGTGATAATGTAACTCTATAAGGTCCAAGCTGTTATGATTGCTATGCTAAATACCCATTAGATGATTTTTTTGACCTTTTCCCAATCTCATTGGATAGCAGTATATTTGGCTACAGTAATGCAGGCATACTTATAGCTGGTATGGAACCTAAGCCTTTGTTTAAATTTGAAAAAGCAGAAAGTTTATTTCCAATATATATGACAATAGCTTCCAAAGCATTTCCCTGACAGTACACAGTTTTAATTAGTAAAATTTTTATCTATATGATCATACTTCTCTCTCTAATTTTGCAAGGGTTACTATGGTGAACAATGAATTATGAAAGAATTCAGACTTTGTCTTATGCAATACAATTATAGAGATATAAGGTTTATATTCAAGTACATATATAGGTTTGCATTTATATAGGTTTACATGCAGGCATATATCATGGACATCCTTCCATATCAGTATTACTACATACTAAAGACATGCATATTTGTTTATGGTATACTCCATAATATATTTAACTATTCCCTATTTATGGACATTTAACTTCATGTCTTTTTTGTAAGTAATCTTTCAAGGAACATCTCTATGTACTAGTTTATATTTGTTTTTAACTGTATAATGCATTCATGGGAATAGTGATGCTAGGTCAAATGTTCCTTCTTGTTCTGAGGCTTGAAATTATATTTATTCCCCTCACAGATAGTTAAATGGATTAATTACAGCTTTTCTGTATGTTAATTGAAAATCAGGTATCATCTAAAATTTGATATTAGCTGATAAGATTAACATGCCACACACTAATCATATGTGGAAATGTGATTCATAGTTGATGGACAGCAAGGAAGCCAGCATTTCAAAAAGGATTGAGAAAAAGGGAACCATGGTAAAGTAGAACACACATCACATACAATTTTATAGGCCATTTTAAGGACTTTGAAAAAATCCTTAACAAGTCTAAAGAGTAGTCTAAACACATTTTTTCCACTTCAGTGCAATGTGTCTTTCATCTTGATTTTCCTATCAATAGCTGTAGCAGAAAAAGATTTCACTTGCTTTAATGCCAAATTAGAGACTTCTTATTCCATTCCCAATTGTGCCTGACACTCTTGACTATTTATAATTTGATATAAATAGAAATAGAAAGACGTCTCATAAATGAAATGTGTGTATTATTTTGTTTTTATTCTTACGAATTCTCTCCATTCATCACAGAATTCTGTTTGCCTTTTTTTTCTATTTCTGCCCAATTATTTTCCCCCTTAGTCTTCTATTTCTCTTCAGCTTCCTTTGCTAAAATCTTTATTTTTTTCTCATGATTTAACCTAATGTCTTGTTCTTTTGTTAGGTGACTTGAAAAGCTTCACAAATTAATTCCCTCTAAGTGAGTTAATAGACAATTCTATTTCAGATTAGCTTTCTTAATGGTTTCATTGTTATTTGAAAATAAACATTCAGTGCCTAATATATGCTTTTAATTATTTTGTTCAGTTTTCAATTGATATATAACTATGTCATTCAAAAACACATTTCCTAGATGGCAGTTTAAATAATAACCCTTAGGAAGAAGGTATGATACAAGTGATTTTAGAAGAATTTTCTTCCAGGTGGTTTAGAATCTTTAAAAAATCTTCAACAACTAATTGTGGACCACAACCAGTTGATTAGCACAAAAGGTCTGTGTGAAACCCCTACCATTATATACCTGGATTGCTCCTATAATCATCTTACTGATGTTGAAGGCCTTGAAAATTGTGGATTGCTCCAAATATTGAAGTTACAGGGAAATAATCTAACTGAGGTAATTGCTTTAAATTAATTGGTTTCTTTCATTAATGCAACACTTTTTAAATAGAAATATCAACCACATATTTTAAAAGAAATTTTGAATAAATTTTTTTCATGTTCATCAGCTGCATTTGATTTCTAATTTACTTTGAACTCTTTCATCATACTTTCACCAAGAAATGTTCAACATAGTTTTAATCTTATAGTATAATTTAACATTAAGTTATCATAATGCTAAAAGGTAATGAATCATAACTACTTTTATTTAGGCTTATAACTAGTGATAAATTTATATATTATAAAATATACATATATACTGTCATGAAATACCTTTAAAATGAATATTAAAATTAAACAGTTAATTAATAGAAATTTTATTTATACTAGAAGCCTCATAATTTCTTTTATGATTTAATTTATGAATCTATTGTAAGTTTTTTAAATCTTGTTAACTGACAAGTCAGTATCTTCCTTGATATAAACTAATGAGCTTTATTTAAATATAGCTTCCATCTTTGGAGAATCATGTTCTGCTAAGAGAATTACACTTGGATGATAACAGCATTTCAACTGTTGAAGGGTTTTCTTCATATTGGCTGCCTTTACTACAAAATCTTACTATCTCCCAAAACAGGTAAACGCATGCTTTACTAAAGCAATAAATTCAGTCAATGCTTGCTTAAGATAATTGTGTGCTGTTCATAAATAACTTAGAAAGTTGGGTGTCTCCAGCAATTCTATGTGAGTGTATCTTAATAAATGAGTACATAAAATATAAAGATAATTTTCTAGAAATGTAAAAAGTGATAGATTGCCATAACCTAGAATGTTAGTAGCATTTTGTCAATTTAGTTTCTTCAATTTTTTTTCTTCTCAGACACACTTGTAGAAATCTCATCTCAGGTTTGTTTGTATTTGTAAAGAATATAATCATTGGAAAATACAGGAGGTAGTTAATTTAATTCAGAAGGATGTCTCATTCTCTCAAATGGTACTTATTAAGTCCTGGAAGAATGATTTTTAATCTGCTCTCTACTTGGATGTCTTTTTGTAACTGTTAAGATAGATTTAAATTTGATATCCCTAGGGATATAAAATAACACTTAAAGAAATACCTTAATGTTAAATTGAAAAGGGGATCTGCCTCAGAAAATTCATTTGAGACCCCCAAACATCTGGATCTTTGCAGAGAATAACTGTCTAAAACCAAAGAAGGAGCACAATATGTGTACTTCTCCCTTTGCTTAATATTTCATTGAGGCTTATACACTCTAATATGATTAATTTGTTCATCAAAGGCACATGGAGTGGAGTAAAGGAACCACCTTTAACAGAAAATACCTCTTTGGGTTATACAGTGCTTAGAAAACAAGTGAATAAGGACAACCTAATTTTTATATTTAGACCTTTTTTTTCAAAAACATAAAACTATTTCTTAACTTTTGCACAGTTTTTTTTTTCATCCTTTGAGCATGTATGTATTAAATTATTTGACTTCTATTATTAAACTTTGACAGTTGAAAACCAAATCTTTACTTAAAATACCCTCAAATTATTTTAATAATATATAAAATATGAAAGTTGATTTGATTTTAAAGGACATTGGGTGTAAAAACTAGCTCTGATAGATACACAGTGTAAATAACTTGGCACATCCACATACCCACCCATTGGATCTTTCTTTACATGATATTTTTTCAGGTAAGAAACATATTTTTAAAATAAAATCATCAGCTTTATTTTGACATATGCAGTAAATCACTCAGCAAATTACATTTAGAGAGATATGAAAATATTTAATTGAAGAACTTTTTAATAAAAATAATGCCTTTAAGGGAATAGGGTTGTGGCTCAGCAGAGTGCTCACCAAGCAGGCATGAGGCAAAGGGTTCGAACTTCAGCACCACATAAAAATAAAATAAAGATATTGTGTCTACCTAAAAAATAAATAAATAAATACTTTTTAAGAAAAAACAATGTCTTTAATTTCTTTGGACAACTTAAATTATCATATAACATTCTTTCTATAAAATTTAAAACTAGTAGTGTGTGATAAACTTTTGCTATGTTATTCTCTTATGACTTGCGCATATCAATAAAAAGAGTGTAACTAAAATACTAAAATTTTTAAGAATTGATAATGATGATTGGGATAATTAACCCAAATTATCCTTCCTTATAATTTTGTTTGCCTAGTCTTATAATATTTGGATATTTTAATAGGATTTGTTATTTTGGAGGATAGAAAAATAGGTGACATATGCTCTTGCCCTCAACGAACTCTTAGAGACAAAAGAACTTCTTATTTTAAGCTTATCTGTGCAAAAATTAGCATAATTATGTTGCTGAGTGTTTTGATATTCTTAACAATACTGTTACATACTTGGATATATTCTTTCTGAGTCTCTCACTACCTACCATTTCTGAGATGATGAAATAATGGGCCTGAAGTCACCAGGAAAATGTAATGGTGGAATGGACATATAAGATAATAAAATTATTTCCTAATATCACAGTACAAAAATCAACTTCAAACTTAGGATTTTTTACAACAAAATTAATACTGTTAATTGTAGAAAAGATCCATCTTGCATTATGCTTTTATATGTACATTGACTTCTTTCAGAACCACATCAGTTTTGATAAAACTCAGTGTCAGTAGATCTGGAGTTGAATTTTGAATCTATAATTTATCAGTCAATTGACATTAAGCAACTCACCACCTAATTCTTGTCTTTTTTTTTCATGTGAAAGGGGTTAAAATGCTAACCTTAACTTTTTTTATAAGATGTTAATGGTAATCCAAATAGAAAATGTTTATAAATTCATTTTACAAACCTGAGAATTTTATAAATGTATATATAAAATGCATATAGTTATATACATGAGTGTGTGTGTGTGTATATATATATATATATATATACATATATTCTTACACATATATGTATGTATATATATTTGTGGTTGGTATGGTTTTTAGATTGTGTATATTATTCTTTTAGTTCTTGATAAATATTTGCATCACAAGGAAGAAATTATATATCCATATGCTTTTCGTATCCCAACAAATGGAATACATATAAAGAATGATACTTAGTACATATTGTTTGAAATGCCTGTTTCATCCTGACTTCTGTTTTAAATTTTCATTACAACATGTGACTGTTTTAAGTTTGACTCCAAGGAGTTCTAACTAAGAAGACTCTGGCTTCATAAGCTTTTCTACTTCCAATGAGACTCTAAGTAGGAGCAGAAAGTGGAAACTATTACCATTGGCTGCTCATTGTACAAATTTTTTGCTTTTTGTCGTCTTTGAAAGTTATATCTTTTAATGCCCAGGGCTAATGTGACAAGGTCAAATGGTATTAGGTTTTCACTAATGTCCTTTGTCTTTCTGGTTTGAATTTTCTTGGAAAAAAATATACACAGAATGTCAGTAAAAAAAAAATTCTAGAGGTTTGAAAAAAGGGATTCTATGATTAGGTTTCTTCCTTCCTAATGTATAGTCATAAAGGTGAATGAATAGCTAGTTTTCATGATTAAGATCTGAAAGATAATAAAGAACATGATTTTTTAAATATGGATTCTTACAAGATAAAACTTAAGTGTTAAAAATATTTGGTCATAGATATTTCTTTGATTGATTTTTGCAATGATGATATTTATTGATTTTTTAAAATTCTAAATAATTATATAGTTTAATATCTTATGTATATGTCACTTTATAAATTGTTAATAAGAAATATGGAATATTCTGAAAAAATAGAAAAATTATATTCTGAAGGATTTAATATGTCATTAGCTATTAAGTTTTCAAAATCCTTGCAGTAGAAATACAAAGTTTAGTTTTCAGAAATTTATTAAACTTAGAACACAGTTTTCTTGTTAATAAATACTTTTATATTTCCACCTGAATAATTATTTTGTGTTTACAATATTGATTCAGAAATTGCTTAGGTAGGAAAAGTGATAAAATGAATACTTAAATTCTATAATTATGTTTCCAACATTTATTTCTCTCTACTCCACCCCTCTCACCTCCCCTCTCTCCTCCTGTCTTTTTTTCATATTCTTTCCTTCCTTCCTTCCTTCCTCCCTTCCTTTCTTCCAAATCCATGTGAAATTTCAGTACATTTTACTATTATGGAGTGTACAAATAATGAAGTGTTTGTATAAATGTAATGACCAATATATTCTCACAGATTTTTTTTCATAATTTAGATTTTTTCTCCCCAGAAAACTGTTTTTAAGATATAGTATCGCATAGGTAAATTGTGAATAGTAATATTGTATTTAGGATTGACTACATTTAGATTTTCTCCTAGCCTCATTATTTATTCTATTTTTTCATCAGTAGTATCTTCTTTCTTTCTGCTAATGCAGAACAGGATAGTACAAGAGAGGAGTCAAGGTCAATACAAGGGCTAGTCTTGTGCTAGTCCCCATGAGGCTACAAGATCCCATAAGTCACAGTGTTACTCGTTGGCTTCTAAACTCAGAGTAATAGTTGCTGTTATTAACAATGTCATTGCCTTTAACAATGTCATATAGGGAGTTCATAGAAAAAGGCAAAGAATTCTGATGGGATAGTGAAGGGACAGTAAGAAAGAAAAGGAAAGAAAATTACTGAGTACCTTTTTAAAATTGTGCTATTTTGAATAGGATGGAATTTCAAATTTTATAAAAGGATTAATTTAGAAAACTTAATTTTCATAAGATCATCTTATACAAGGGGGCTTTTTTAAAGATTCAGATAAACAGATTTAATTTTAATTTTCCAAATAGCTATAATAATATGATATTGTGTTACAGAGTAAGTGTAGACTGGTCTCAGTTGAAAATATAAATCAAACTAAACTTATTTTTCCCTTCATAGCTTTTTTCAATATCATGCATTTTCAATATCATTTTATGCTTTTTGCTGGAATATGGATTCTTAATGACAATTATAACTTAGAAAAAGATAAACACTTAAAAGAAGGATTTAAAGTTCATTATATTACTATTTTAGTATGCATAATTCATAAGTGTATTTATTTTAAAAGTCATATATTTCTGCCAAATTTAAATTCATTCTATGGATATAAAAAATAACATTTTTTTCCATGGACTTAGTATTTATATATTAAGCACATTTTTTTTCCTGTTTTTTTTTTCTTTGGTTTTTTGGTGGTGCTGGGGATTGAACCCAGTGCCTTGTGCATGCAAGGCAAACACTCTACCAACTGAACTACATCCTCAGTCGAAGCACATTTCTAACTTAGAATTAAAACTAGTATAGTTTTGGACACTTACAACATTTATAATGCTTTCAATCTAACAAACAAAGCAATGCTTTTCAATTAAAAACATATTAGTTTCTCTAATCTGTTATCATATTGAAAAGTGATATTTTTATGTTTGTGCATTAAATGTTTAGGTTACATGTTTGAGCCAGTGTGTAAAAAAATAATGTAACTTCTATAAAACATTGACTTTATACAAAGATAAAATAATGACAAAAACCACTTATTTAAAATTGAATAGCAAATGCCCATCAAAGCCCATGATATTTGTGACTGAATTTGGCCCTTCTATTGTACTTTCTCTTCAAATGAATTAAAATCTTCCTTTGTAGAAATTTTCCATGGTAAT